GCGGAGCGAGGGGCTGCGGCAGAGGCCTTGATGGCGGGCGGCGGTGAGGGCTGGGGGCCAGGAGCCGAGGCCGAGGCCTGGGCAAGGGCCAGCCGCCGGGAGCCCTAAGGTGCCGCCCGCCCCGACTCCACCATGAACGTTGCGCTGCAGGAGCTGGGCGGTGGCGGCAACGTGAGTGGGAGCCCCGGGCTCCGGGGAGAGGCCTGGGTGGAGGGGGTGAGGCTGAGGGAGCAGGCGGCGTCGGCAGGGCAGGGGCTCGGGCTGGCGGTGAAAGGGCTGAGTCTCAGAGGGGGCCGGGGGTCGGGCGTGGGGGGCCCAGGCCGGCAAGCCCGGCAGGAGAGAGGGGGCCCTCACTGCAGAGAGGCCAGGGGCACTGGGGCAGGGCCGTGGCCAAAGACCCCTCTCTGCCTGACTTCGGTTGGCGCCCCCACTGTCTGGCAGATGGTGGAGTACAAACGGACCACGCTGCGGGAGGAAGACGCACCTGAGACCCCCGTAGAGGGCGGGGCCTCCCCGGACGCTGTGGAGGTGGGCAAGGGGGTTCTCCCTTTCTCACCAGGCCCCAGTCCTGACAGGACGTCTGGCAGACCCAGGAGCTTTGGGCTGCCCTGGAGGGTCACCTGCCCCCACCTCCCCTCCATCTCTGGCCTCTGCGCTAGGACTGTGGTGAGGCGATTGTAAGCCATGACGTTGCACTAAACAGGCTCAGGGCTCAACTCAGACTGCCTCATTGCCCCTGTGCCCAAAGTTGACCCCTTTAGCGTCTTTGCTCCGTGGCTCTGGAAACTGGCCGTGTCTTCACCCTTTGGGAGGACTTCTGTGAACTTGGATCCTCACCTGCAGCTTGGTAGCTCACTGTCATCCTGTGTTCCCAGGTGGGATTCCAGAAGAGGACAAGAGACCTCTTGGGCTCTCACACCCAACTGGAGCTGGTCTTAGCAGCTGTCTCTCTACTGCTGGGTGCACTGCTTCTGGGCTGCTTCGTGGCCCTGGGGGTCCAGTACCACAGAGGTAGGTGGGCCCACACCTGTCACCAGCCCTCTTGGTGTGGGGGCTCTGGCTCAAGGACCCCTAAGGTTTTCTCTGGTGGGGGCCAGTCTTCCCCCAACTTTTCTCTCTCCTCCCAACCTTCTTGCTGTCATGGCTTTCCCCAAAGCATTGTTTTCTCAGACCCACCGACAGCCCCCTTTCCCCCCACCATGTCCCCTGCCACAGACCCATCCCACAACACCTGCCTCACAGAGGCTTGCATTCGAGTGGCTGGAAAAATCCTGGAGTCTCTGGACCGTAGTGTGAGTCCCTGTGAGGACTTTTACCAGTTTTCCTGTGGAGGCTGGATTCAGAGAAATCCCCTGCCCGATGGGCGTTCTCGCTGGAACACCTTCAACAGCCTCTGGGACCAGAACCAGGCCATACTGAAACACCTGCTTGGTGAGTGGGGCTGTCAGGGAGGCATTGTGCCAAGTACAACTCATGCCTGGAACAGGGCTTCGCATTTAGGTACTCAATAAAGGTCCATGACTGAATGACTAAGTGGGTGACTGCAAACATTCCTGGGTAGGGGATGCAGAGAGCAGGGGGTTCCTGAGAGGTGGAGATGGCTTTGAGGGGACAGATCTCTGACTATAACGAAAGGACTCTTCTCTTCACTCTGCTTGGATCACTGTTGAGGTGTGGCAGGCACGAGGGAGTCTGTGGAGCTTAGAGATCTTTGAGGGTTTCCATGGACAGGGGAGAAGAAGTCACGCTTGGCGGTTTCAGATGATCTTCCTGAGTCTACATTAGGAGGACTGCCCCTTAACAAGGCAGGGAGAGGGACCAAGCAAGGGCCCAGGACCCCTCTCACTAGATAGCATAGCTGTCAACCACCCCACAGAAAAATGTGGTCTACCCCACAGAAAACACCACCTTCAACTCAAGCAGCGAAGCGGAGCGGAAGACACAGCGCTTCTACCTATCCTGTCTGCAGGTGGAGCGCATTGAGGAGCTGGGAGCCCAGCCGCTGCGAGACCTCATCGACAAGGTAGGACCACTGGGGGAGGTCAGGCTAGGTCCTGGGAGAGGATAAGCTTTGGGGGCCTCTGTGCCATAGTTTCCATTATGGTCTCTACCCAGATTGGTGGTTGGAACATCACGGGGTCCTGGGAGCAGGATAACTTCATGGAAGTGCTGAAGGCAGTAGCAGGGACCTACAGAGCCACCCCCTTCTTCACTGTCTATGTCAGTGCCGACTCCAAGAGTTCTAACAGCAATGTTATCCAGGTACCATTCCGGAGAAGGGTTGAGAGGGACTGATGGACCATTGACTGACCCAGACTCCCCTTCCCTATGACAGGCAGGCTGGGGTGGCCCCACGCCCCACCCCTGCACAAGAGTCCAGGTATGTGTGTGGGGAAGGCTTACTCCCTTCACTTGCTATTGCAGGTGGACCAGTCTGGGCTCTTTCTCCCCTCTCGAGATTACTACCTAAACAGGACCGCCAATGAGAAAGTAAGGAGCATCCCCAGAACACCCAACCCCACCCCTCTGTTGAGCTGGGCTGATTCCTGTTTACTTTCCCCCTTGCCAAGGGTCATAGTGGGGAAGGTGAACCTGTCCTGTCACCTAGTGAGCCAACTACCCTTTCTTCCGTCTTCCTCCCTTCACTCTTCCCTCAGTTTTTTCCTTCCTCCCTTCCATCCTTCCTTCCCTCCCTCCTCTCTTTCCCACCCTCTTTTTTTTCTTCCCTTCCCTTCCCTCTTCCCTTCTTTCCTTCCTCCCCTTTATTCTTCTAGGGAAACATTTTATAGGCCTCTACTATGTGCCAGGTGCAATGGGGGAATTCTGAGATGTACCTCCAGAGCCACTGTCACACAAAGCTTTCAATGTAGATGGCTTTATGGACCTAGATAGCTAAGAACAGGTTCAAAAGAGGGTCTATAGGCCTCAGAAGAGATTCAGGTAGTCAGAGCTTTCCTAACGAGATTGCGTTTGAGCCGGGCCCTGTAGAATATCTAAGAGTGGGCAAGGGCATGCTGGGTAATGAGAATAGTTTAAACAAAGTCTTGAAGAAGGAAAGGCTAAGGCATTTTTGGACCATGAGAAGGGGTCCAGCTTGGCAAAATGTGGAGCTCAGAGCAGATGAGGGGCTGGACAGGTGGGTAGGAACTAGTTGCAGAGGGGACCTGGAATGCCACACTGGGTTCATTGTATAGGTCTCCGAGAGCTGTTGCATGCTCCAGAGCAGGAAGGGAGCAACACGGTGAGCAGTGCTTTGGGAAGCCAGTCTGGCTGAGGTGTGACAAGTAGATGCAAGAGAGGGAGCCTGGAGATGAGTTAAGAGTCAGTTGCACTCCAGGCTCTGAGTCTGTAAGGGCCCTGATGTGGTCAGTGGCAGAGGGAATGTTAAGAAGGGCAGGATGCAAGAGACATGACCTAGTGCAAATCACGAGTTGCTGGTGGCTGGGTGTTTGGAGAAAGGAGTAGAAGGAGGAAGAGATAAAGACAGATGAGTCTATAAGCCTGAGTGATGGTGGAATGGAGCGGTCCTTGGAGAACCAGGGGTGCCTGTAAGAAGAACCAGCTCAGGGCACGTTGGGGAAAAGGAGACAGTGTTACATCACAGGACAAGGGCAGACTTTGAGGTCAGACCTCGATTTTAATCCCAGCCCTGCGGCTTGGTGCAAGTTGATTAAATTCTCTTGGAAGTTGTTTCTTCATCTGTAAAGTGAGGATCATAGCATTTACCTCCTATGGTGCTTGTTTGGGGAGGGGGGATGCAAGCTTATGTAGACACTCAGAGAGTGGGAACGACTTGTTTTAGATGTGTGGTTGTGAAGGACCCAGACAATGTCCAGATGTCTAGATGGAAAGGTCAGCAGGCAGCTGTGGAAGCTGGGTGGAGTCCTGGAGACAGGATGAGGCTGGAGGGAGCCGAGGACTTCAGGGCCATCTCCTTAAAAACCTACACAAAGGCCTAGGAGAAGTGAGAGGCAGAGGTAGAATACAGAAGAATATCCCTGTATTTTAAGGGCAGTGGGAGAAAGACAGACAGTGAGGTAGACTGCTGTGGAGTAAAACAACTGCTAGAGTCATTTGTCCCTTCATTGGTTTTCAAACACTGAGCACTCCTCAGGCAGACCCTCCTCCTGGCATGTGGTCAACAAGACATTGCCTTTGGCCTCTAGGTGGGGGAGAAGACAGGAAGTGGCTCAGTGCACAGTTCTCCTGTGTGAAGTTGCTGGGACTGTCACAGAGGAGAAGCACAGTGTTCTGAGACTGAGCGTCACAGGGAACCAGCCTAGTCCTAGGGTAACAGCAGGCTGCAGTGAAAGGAGAGGGTTTAGGCAAAGGGAAAAGCTTATGCAAAGGCTGTGAGGTGGGGAGGCATATAACCTATTGATGGACCAGAGAGGGGTAGGAGGGGAGTGGACCAAGGCCTTCTGGTCAGGTATGTAGATTCATATTGTGCATGACCCCTGCGGGTCAGATTTAGCACTTATTCCAAAAGAAATAGAAAAGGAAACTCATCAAAACTGAGACTGGCAGGGCATCTGGGTGGCTCAGTCAGTTGGGTGTCAGACTCTTGGTTTTGGCTCAGGTCATGATCTCACGGTTCGTGGGATTAAACCCCGTGTTGGGCTTTGTGTTGCAGCATGGAGCCTGCTTGGAATTCCCTCTCTCCCTCTCTCTCTGCCTCTCCCTTGCTCATGTTCTCTCTCTCTCTCTCTCTGTGTCCCTCAAAATAATTTAATATACATTTTTAAAATACCACATTGGGAGTGGCATGAACAGATATGTGGTTTGACATCACCTGAGTCAGGAGAGGAGAGAATTTTGAGAATTCAGGAGAGAACCACAACAACCAGGAACTGGCAGGAGAAAGCTTCAGTTTGGCTCTCAGTGTGTTGCTGGATTGTCTCGAGTAGGAAGTCTGTGCCAGCATCTAGTGGAAACTGTAGCATAAAAGGTTCACATAGGATAAAAACTTAGGAGTAAATCAGGGTTCAGGAAAGTCTCAGGGGTAAGTCTTCAGCTAAAGGTAGGGTGAGAAAGGGGTAAGTGAGGTGGGTGGGGGCAGGGCATAGTCAGGGTGACTGGTTGAGTCAACCATTCCCCTCAGGACCTGGGATGACTGGTCCTCAAATCTCTTCCTCTGACACCAGCAGCAAGGGAGAGGAGAGGTGGGAGAAAGACATTTTGAGGTGCAGGGAATGGATATTAAATGGATATTTAATGGATTTTAAAACTTGTCAATAGAGTGGAAGAGGAGACGGCCTTTGGTGATTAAGGGAGCTCAGGGTGGGGCTTCAGGACCAGAGTGAGGAGTGGCCCCTGGGAGGAGGGCCACAGGGAGTTGGTGCTGAGTGGTGCTGAGGGTCTATTTGCAGGTTCTCATCCTTTCATTCAACAAATATTTATTGAACACCTACTATGTGCCAGATGCTGGGCTAGAGCCTGAGACTACAGTGGAGAAGAGAGAAAATAGTCCCTACCTCATTCAGCTCAAGTGCCAGCAGGGGCTGAAGCAACACAAGTGCCTCCTGGGCCTGGGTAGTGCTGGGGCACCGGCCCTGGAACCGTCAGGCCTGAGCCACATTTGGATTCTGCCATCTGCTAGTTTGTGATATGAGTCAAGTCATGTAACCTTCCCAAGCTTGTTTCCCCGTCTGGAAAATGGAACTAATACCCACTATATGGAGCTGCAGTGAGAGGGAAAAAGGACACATCACTTATAGAACCCTAGCAGGGTCTGATACATGTGTTTACATGTGGTCATATGTATTTCTTTTCTGCTCTTTTCTCCCCCTTAGAGACTAGAGGGGAGCTGAGAAAGCAGCAAGGTTGAGGCCTGGCTGGATGGGAGATGGAAGGCCATTAAAACTACTGTGACTAAATTCCCCATGGGGTCCACTCAGTTGTTAAGTGAAGACATGTGGTCACTGATGTGCTGGAAAAATAGAAGGGCTTTAGGAAAAGAGAAGGCAGAGCAGTGTGGGAAGCATGTCTATCTACTGGATGAATATTTACAGGCCACTTGTTCAGTGGTAGGCCCCATTCTAGGCCCTAGGGGTAGAAGGGTGACTAAGTTGCTGTAACTTGGAACAGTGCTCTCCTGAACTAACCTTTTCATTTGGGAAATAAATGATCAACAAGCGTGCAAATAAATAAACAAGATCCTAGCAGGTACTGGTAAGCAGTATGACAGAAATAAAACAGGATCGTCCAAGAAAGCTTCTGTGAGGAGAATCCGCAGAAGAGATGCTGAACAGAGGTGGGGGCCAGAACAGGCCCTCTCAGCCTTGCGCAGGACCTGTTGCTGGGCTCTGAGGATGACTCAGGGCCTTGACAGGTGCTTACTGCCTACCTGGACTACATGGAGGAGCTGGGGATGCTGCTGGGTGGACGGCCAGCCTCTACACGGGAGCAGATGCGACAGGTGCTGGAGCTGGAGATTCAACTGGCCAACATCACAGTACCCCAGGACCAGCGGCGGGATGAGGAGAAGATCTATCATAAGATGAGCATTGCGGAGCTGCAGGTGGGGCCTGGGAGGAACAGAGACAGCTGGGAGGGTCCAGGCCCTGGGGCAGACCTCCCAGCTTCCCTTCCTGTCATCTTTCTGAGGCAGCCAATCGGTTCCTCATTTGCTCGCTTTTGTGAGCTTCCCAGCTGCACTGTTACTATCCTGGAAAGAAAAGTGGTGTCCATTTTAGGCCACCTCTCACTAGGCCATCTCTTGGTCCTCCTTCATGTTGCCTGGGGATGCGTAGAGGGATTATATTAAAAATCTATAACAATGTGTACAAGATGTCCACAAAACAATCAGAAGAAATTTGGAAGCATCTCCTTTAGTTGCCAGGAATCAACACTTTAGTTGGATTATGGAGATTTTGGATGGGGGAGGGGAGGGTTCTGGAAGGAGAGACCAGTTATGTAGGGACTCTGCGTGGTATTTTATCAATGGTTATGAAAATATTTGAATATCTATGCCCCCGCTGAGTATTACATAGAGTGCTTTTTCTTGTATAATAACTGATTGGGCTCCCAGACTGAGGAGTGCTCAGGCCTGGAAAAGGGTTTGTTATAGGAAGGGGCTACCAAGCAGCTAATAGATGTTGCCATGGTAATGAGAAGGGCTCCCAGGCTCCAGTATATCAGTGGGGCAGGGGTCTGCTGGAAGCCAGGAGTGTAGGCAAGGAGGCTTTAGACTTTTTTTTTTTTTTTTTGCTTGTAGGCCCTGGCACCCTCCATGGACTGGCTGGAGTTTCTATCTTTCTTGCTGTCACCGCTGGAGCTGGGTGACTCTGAGCCCGTGGTGGTGTATGGGAAGGATTATTTGCAGCAGGTGTCAGAGCTCATCAACCACACAGAGCCAAGGTTGGGGGGAGCCCAGAGTGTGGGAGGTGGGACTCAGAGCTCCATGCAGGTCCAGGCAGGGACTGGGCATGGGGGACTGTCACAGCCAGACACAGAGCAGCATTTGATAAGGTCCTGGACCTTCCAAACATCAAAAGAGAATGTCTGCAGGCTATTCCCATAGGGTGAGGCTTCAGGGGGCCCATTTGTGCTCTTTATTCCCACACCTTCTCCAAACTGACTTCTGCAGGCAGGTGTGTGGTCCCAGGGGAGAGAGAGAGAGATTCTGGGACAGCTCCTGCATATGCCTCTCAGGACTTCTGTTGCCTGCACATTCATGGAGCAGATTGGGGGTGAAAATGGTACCCCACCTGCCCTTCCCTTATGTCTGGTCTGGATGCCAGTGTCCTGAACAATTACCTGATTTGGAACCTGGTGCAGAAGACAACCTCGAGCCTGGACCGCCGCTTTGAGTCTGCACAAGAGAAGCTGCTGGAGACCCTCTATGGCACCAAGAAGGTGGGCTTTCTGACTCTGTCCCCACCTTCCAGTCCAGCCTAGCTGACTGTCAGGCACCATTTGCCTCATGGTATAGTATGGAGCACAGGAGTAGGAATCAAGATGACTTGGGTGTCAATCCCAACTCCTCCATTTTTTTAGCCTATGGGACCTTGGGCATGTCACCCAGCCTCTCTGACTCTCCATTTCCTGGTGTGTGAAGCAGGAGTACCTTGTAGGGTTGTCTTGAGGACTGAGTTAATGTAAGTGAAGCACCTACCCGGTACATGGTACGTAGAGGCATTCAGCTTTGATAATGATGGTTAAGAAGATGAATAAATGCAGTTCTTAGTTTCAAGATACCCCATTAAGTGGGGAAAATGGACATGTAACCAAACATGGTATTTTGGGGTGGTAAGTGCTCACACTGTGTGAAAGACCTTTGTGCTATAGAACAGAGGAAGGGATAGCACATTCTACCTGGGGGAGGAGGCAGCATCAGAAAAGACTTTTATGAAGAGGTGACGTTTGAGGTAGTTCACCAAAGGAGCAAGGGAAAAGGGCACTCTAGTCAGAAAGAACAGCATGTGTAAATTCCTAGAGGCCAGGAGCATTGTGGGTTTGCATGTGCTCTGGTATGAGCTTGCAAACGGGGCAGCTGAGAGGCTGAGGGGGGTGAGGTGGGCCTGGGGCAGTCCCTGAAGGGACCTGAATGCTCCATTAAGAAGTCAGGCCTAAAAAAAAAAAAAAAAAAAAAAAAAAAAAAAAAAAAGTCAGGCCTCAATTCTTTCAGTAACGGGGAACCATGGGATGATTTTAAGCGAAGAATAACCCAGTTAGATTTGTGTATTGGGTAGTCTTTCTGGAAGCTAAATGGAAGATGGAGGGGAGTGTCAGGGGAGGGGGAGAGGGATGAGAATGAAATCAGAGTGTCTAGTTAGGAAGTGACTGCAATCTTGGGCCGGAGGTGAGAGTGTTGTAGGGCAGGGAAGTGGCAATGGGGTGGACAGGGGAGATGACTAAGAAATAGAAGTAGTAGCCTTGGTGATGGATTGAATGTAGGGGTGGGGGATAGAGGAGTCTGGTGACTTTTGCAAGTTTCTTGCATGAGGGACTGACTGGATATAAGGCTGCGATATGAGCAAAGAAACTTCTGGACCCTAGTGGGCCTCTTAGAAACTTAAGAGGAGGAGAGCACTGAGCATGGAGTAGGCAGCACACATGTTCCTCCTGTAGTTTGGCTGCTGGGGTTGGCACATTTTTCCATTCTGCCCTTTATTTTCCTCGGAGTCTGAGGGAGAGACGGCAGCTCCCCAAACCCAGGCTTTCATTGTTCAGAGCTGAGAGGGCTGGCCCCAGAGACAGAGAGGAGAGCAGCCCAGACGGAGAGCATAGCCATCTCTGGGAGGCCTGGCTCTTTGTCCCTTACAGTCCTGCACGCCAAGGTGGCAGACCTGTATCTCCAACACGGATGACGCACTTGGTTTCGCTTTGGGCTCCCTCTTTGTGAAGGCCACGTTTGACCGGCAAAGCAAGGAAATTGTGAGTCTTCAAGGTCCTTCCAATAATACCCCTTGTTTTAGTTAAAATTCACTGTTCGTTCATGTGTGTACATAGAGGGGGTGAAAAACTGAAAGGAAATTCATCAATAAATGGACAGTATTTTGGTGGTGGGATTGAGGGGTTCTTTTTGTCCTTTAAAGTTCTCTGTATTTTCCAAATGTTCTGCAATGAGTTTATGTTGCCTCTCCAGTTAGAAAAATAATACTTATTATTTATTAGGAGATGATAATGAATGTGCTTAAAGTATTATCTACAAGACTGTTTATTGCAGGGTGGTTTATAATAGGTGAAAATGAGAACAACTTAAATGTCTAATCATAGGGGACTGGAAGAAAGATTGTGGTTAGAGTGGGTTGTGAGGCAGCCTTAAAGCTCATGATATAGTGTTAAGTGAAAAGAAGTAGCTTACAAAATATATGTATGTTACACAATATAATTCTGTGTTATATGTGTATACCTGGGCAGGGAAAGACACTCAAAGTAAATAATCAAAATGTTAAGAGGGCTTATCTCTGAGTGATGGGGTTATAAGTGGTCTATATTCTTCTTCAACTTTTCTCAATTTCCCAAATTTTCTTTTTTCTTTTTCTTTTTTAAGTTTTCTTTATTTATTTAGAGAACGTACACACATGTAGGGAGGGTTAGTGAGAGAGGGAGAGAGAGAATCCCAAGTGGGCTCCATGCTGTCAGCACAGAGCCAGATGCAGGGCTCCATCCCACGAACCATGAGATCATGACCTGAGCCAAGATCAAGAGTTGGCCACTTAACCAACTGAGCCACCTGGATGCCCCTAATTTCCCAAATTTTCTGCTCTTAATGCCTTCCTTTCATTTTCAGATAAAAATCAATGTACTGTATTAAATTATATTTCTTCAGTTAACTTATTGTCAGTTAAAATTCTTGATCAATGAGAAAAAGAGCCACCCACCATCTCAGCACCTTCACAAATCTTTTCATCTTCCCAAGATGCTCAGCCTTATTTTGAGAGTCTGGGCACTCCCCTGGAAGGACAGGGATGGGACACTAGGGTGGACAGGGAGAAAGAACGCATCAGTGTGAGTGGAAGCCGACTTGTGCCTGCTCCCTCGCAGGCTGAGGGGATGATCAGCGAGATCCGGAGTGCCTTCGAGGAGGCCCTGGGGCAGCTGGTTTGGATGGATGAGAAAACCCGCCGGGCAGCCAAGGAGAAAGTGAGCCGTAGCAAGGGTTGGGGCGCCATCTTCAGGTGGGGATGGAGGACACAGTTTTTTGGAGGGAGACTGGGGAGGGAAACCCTAACCTAGTCTCTTCAGGCAGATGCCATCTATGATATGATTGGTTTCCCGGACTTCATCCTGGAGCCCAAAGAGCTGGATGATGTTTATGACGGGGTGAGTACTTCTGCTCACCAGTGCTGAATTTCATCTAGGGGAGCGGGGGTGGGGGCTCTATTCTTGGCTCAGTAATTGGGGCTCAAACACTGGGAGGGAAGGAGGTGGTTTTTGGTTCCTTTCAGAGGCAAGTATGGGCAACTGACATTGTTCAAATGCTGGCTCTGTGCCAGGCCACAGGCCAGGGATGGGTGGAATGCAGTGTTCACAAATCCTATTTCTACTTCTACCTAACTGGGTAACCTTGAACAAGTTATGTAACTTCTCTGGGCCTCAGTGTCTTCATTTGTAAAATGGGGATCCTAGTAGTACCTACCTCATAGCGTTGTGAGAATAGAAGGAGGTAGTATGTAAATATTGGTGATTCTTATTTCTTAAATATTTTGCTCTTACTTTGCAGTTGAGGAAACAGAGGCTTAGAGAGGTGCTAATTAGTAGCCAAACTGGGACTATTATCTTCTCCAACATGTTGTCTTGCTTGCTTTCTGCTTCTCACCACTCCCACAGTATGAAGTCTCTGAAGATTCCTTTTTCCAGAACATGTTGAATTTGTACAATTTCTCTGCTAAGGTGATGGCTGACCAGCTCCGCAAGCCTCCCAGCCGGGAC